TTACGTAGCTTCGGCTATATAGTTATATAGCCTAAAGGTATACTACGAGTAATCGCTCTAGGGCGTACTCTAGAGCTTTATACGAGTTTAACTCGTAATATATAGACTCTAATCTCTTTATAGGCTATTTATAGATCGTTCTCTTCTCGAACTAGGTAGGCGGTTTCTATTTAATACTTTCTATAAGATCTTTAACTTCTTTTTACTCTAGAACTTTTTTTAGAGCTTCTAGGCCTTCCTACGATTTCTAAATCTCTATAGTATACTTATAGATTTCCTTAAATTATAGTAATTTCGCGTCTTTAATATTAATCTTCTTACGAATTATAATTTTCTTTTATATCTAGTCTAGTAATCCTTAGAGGAATATTATTCTAGCTTAGTACTAAGTAAGCTAATTTTCTATAATTAATGTATTTACCGATAGCCTAAACTAGTAGTAATATCCTTTAATATTATATTTATTATTTCTCTCGCGCTTAGAGAGTCCTTAAAGGAATATAAGCGTCTTTATTTTCTACTTATTATCGCTATCTTCCTATTCTTTATATATAAAATCTTTTAACTTCTCCTAGTCCTTATTATTATACTCTTCTATCGATCTTAAGTATATTAAGATTCTTAAATCGTAGTAGCGAAGGACTCGATTAACTCGGCTTTCTATAGATACTCTATAATCGTTATAAAAATTATTAAAAGAACGAAGAAACTTAGTAACGTTACGACTATTAAAGAAAGGAACTCCTATAGATAGTATACTAGTCTATAGTATTAGTACTACGAAATCGCTTATAGTTAGTAATTCTTCTTTTAAACTTAACGAAGTTTTAACGGCTATTATCGATAATAAAGTTATTAATTCTACTATATTAAACGTCTACGCGAGCGAAGGTTCTTTTACCTTACTCTATCTTCTTAAAGGACTTATTAGTCTCGGTAGCTTTAATCTAGTAGATATTTCTCGTTTCTAAATCCTCTACTCCTTACTAAGTCTTACCTTACTTAAGTTACTAGATATCGTCTTTCTAATAGCTATTTTATTAATTCTTTTCTCGATTTCGTACTTAAAAATAAAATAACTAATCTACTACTTAGTTATTTTTCTTATCTATTATAATACTAAAAAAATTATTAGAATACTTATTAGTTTCTAAAGCCTTATCTCGTTAGACTATATAGTTATATAGTCGAAACGAATTTTAGTTAAGTATCTATAATTATTCTTAGCTTTTCGAATACTTTACGCTCGAATTATATTTACCCTCGAATTTACTTCTACGCGTTCTAAATAAGTATCTTAATTTAACTAAGCGAATAAAGTACTTAAGAATTTCTAGTAAAGTCGTTCCTAAACTTTTTCGCTCGGTTTTAAGTTAGGAAAAAGCTTTCTTAATAAAATATTTCTTCGATAGTTTCGAAAGTATTATATATCTATTCTTTCGTTATTCTTAAGGTTAAATTAATACTTCGTTCTTTTATAGTTTTTAATCTTCTAGAATAGTTTTCTTCTAGATTTAACCGCTAGTAGTCGTCTTTCCTATAGTTCTAAGGTTCTTTATAAGATAATATACTTATAATACTCGTTCGTTCTCTTAAGAAGTACTAGTTATATTAAGATTAAATCGGTATATATTCTCGCCTATTCTATAGGTTAAATAAGGAAGTAGGACTACGTTACTAGAAGTTCTTTTTCTTCTAGGATCGTAGGATAAGAATTAATCGATATTAAAACGAATACTATAGTAGCTATAACTAAAACGATACTCTTTACTTACCTATATTAGCGAAGGAATAGTAACGCTATTAATTTCTATAGTCTTAAGCTCGCTAAAGGACTATACTTTTAAGACTTCTCGTAATAGATATATATAAAGCTATAATAGCTTTATTCGTAAAGGTTACTACTACTAAAACTTAGGCTATATAGTTATATAGCTAAACTCGTAGAAGGAAAAACGCTCTTAATTCTATAAACTATACTCTTATAACTACTATCTAATACTTAACGTCCGCTCGCGTACGTTAGGTTGCTCCTCCTCGTTACTTATCTCTTCGATCGTCTACTTTCTTCCTTACTTACTTATTCTTCTATACTAAGGCCCCTTCTCTCTTCTCTTATAACTAAGCGCCTCGAGCCCTAATATACTATTAGGATCCGAAAGTCGATATAGCGTTTATACGACTAAAGAAGATATTTATAATAGCTCCGATCCTCGCTCTATTTAACTATATAAAAGAAACGTTCCTAGAAGTTAATACTTCTAAATAGTATATAGGCGGTACTTTATTCTAGATAGGAAAAGACGATTCTATACGATTCTACGTATTCTTTTTAAAAAAGAACTTACTCGCGGAATATAATAATAATATTATTATCTATTAACGTCTATTTCTCCTTATAGAACTATATAGATAATTTACCTTATATAGGAAAAAGCTCTTTCTTTCGTAGAGTAAAACCTAGGGCTCGTATCGCTAGGAGTATACGTTTTATACGCTTTTCGCCTCCTTATCGCCGTTATTAATTATATAACCTTTTACCTATAATCTAGAGATGTAAGGGTTTAGCTAGGAATTTAGAGTAATTCGTCTAACTACCGTATAACGAGGATTCTAAAGCTAAGGAGAGAAAAGAA